GGGACGAGGCCGACGTCATCAGCTACAATGCGACGACGACGAGCAGCGAGCACGAAAGCGACGGGACGGCAAAGGACGAGCCCAGCGGGGTCAGCTACAGCGCGGCGACGACAAACAGTCACTGCGAGCGTGAGCGAGCGGACGGCGAAGTGCGAGCCCAATGTCATCAGTTACAGCGCTGGGATCAGGGCACACCCAACGGCAGCCTCGCGTCGCGTGAGAACGGCGAGCAGGGGCAGCAGGCTCTGGCGCTGCTCGGCGAGAAAGTGAAGGCGAAGCGAAAGCCCGACGCCTTCACTCACAGACATGAGATCAGTGCGAGCGAGACGGCCGAGATCCCATCCTGCGAGAAGCGGGGGGCGAAGCGGGAGCCCAAACTAGTCACCAACAGCGCTAGAAACAACAAGGGCGAGAAGTGGGAGGCGAAGCTGGAGCCCAAGGTCGTAGGCTACTCCACCGTGCAAAACTTGTGCGATAAGGGCGGGCAGTGGCAGTAGGCTCTTGCGCTGCTCAACGAGACGTGGAAGGCGAAGCAAAAGCCCGACGCCATCTACTACAGTGCCCAGCTGGAGTCCGAACGGGACGTCCGACGACGCTGGGCAAAGCGCGTGCAAGAGAGGCGAGCAGTGGAAGCAGGCACTGTCGCTACTCGGCACAAGCAGGAAGGCGAAGATGGAGCCCGATATCACCAGCTATCCGCCGCTGCACTGAGAGAAGTGGGACGCGAAGCTGGAGCCCGAGCTGGTCAGTAACAGCGCTGGGAACAGCGTGTGCGATACGGGCGAGCCAGGGCAGCAGGCTCAGCGTGACCAGGCAAAGGGGCAGGCGGCTCGGACGCCATCACGCGAGAAGTGGGAGGTGAAGTTCGAGCCCGACGTTATCAACAGCTACGCTCTGCCGCAGGGGGTCGGACCGTGCTCTCCGCCGAATGGCTGAGATCAACTCGTGCGAGAACACTGCAGGAACCGTGGGGCCGGGAAGGATCTCAGCTACCGTGCGGGCATCGGGTCGTGCGAGAGCCAAGACAGTGACAGCAGGCTCTGTTGCCGCGGGGGTCAGACGAGCCATTCTGGGCTACAGTGCCGAGATCAACTCGTGGGAAAAGTTGTGCGAGAAGTGCAAGAGATCTGCTGCCTGGTTGGCTGGCGCGGCGCGGGGACGGTCCGATGCAGCCAGCCGACCCACGGCGCGAATCCATTGGGTTTCGCGGACCGTCTGACCCGCTGAACTCCGCTGAACTCCTCCTCCCCCTTCTCCTCCTCCTCCTCCTCCTCCTCCTCCTCATCCTCCTCTTCCTCCTACTCCTCCTCCTCCTCCTCATCCCCATCTCGACGACGACGACAATGAAACCAGGACGACGACGACGACGACGACGACGACGACGACGACCACGACGACCACGATGACGACAACAACGACGACGACGATGACGACGACGACGACGACGACGACGGTGACGAAATCGACGACGACTACAACGTTGCCAAAAACGACGCCGAAGACTATGTCAAAGCCGGCGTCGACGACGACGACGGCGACAACACTGGCGTTGGCGGTGGTGACGGTGACGGTGACGGTGACGGTGACGGTGACGGTGACGACGACGACGACGACGACGACGACGACGACGACGACGACGAGAAAGGCCTGGACGACAACGGCCGCGGCGGCGGGGCGGGGCTCCGAGTCGTGCACGACCCACGCCTGGGCCGCGGGGCGCGCGCTCGTCGCCGAAAATCGCACAAGGAGGAGCACGCGGAGAGACGGCGGGAGAAAGGCACCGAGGAAGGAAGGGCGGAGCAGCAAGGGGGAGGGACAGAAGGCGAAGGAGGGAGGAAGAGGGAGGAGGAGGGGGGGGGGGAGGAGGAGGGGGAGGAGGAGGAGGAGGAGGGGGAGGAGGAGGGAGGAGAGGAGGAGGAGGAGGAGGAGGAGGAGGAGGAGGAGGAGGAGGAGGAGGAGGGAAGGACGACTCCAAAAGCGGAGACCGCCCTCCAGACTCCTCGGCCCCCCCGGGCTTCTCCCGGGCGCCACCCCGAGCGGCTACCTGGGGCGAGCCCCGGCCCGAGGTGGCGATAGGCCTCCTGGAGGCCAAACAGGAGTACAGTGCAGGTCACATGGGGATGAGCATTGAGGATGCCAGCACCAAAGGATGGCAATCAGCATCACCAGCATCACTGTCATCAGCACCATAATAATCATTATCATCGACATCATCGTCGTCATCACCACACTCGTCGTCATCATCACCATGATGATCATCAACGTCGTCATCGTCACGCGAGTGCTTTCTGGCGTGACTTACCCTGCAAAGGTGTTGGAGCACTCTCAGAGCCTTCCTTGGCCACGCAGGCCCTCGTGGCAGTGCTCTTCGAGGCATCTTCGGACGTCTGGGAAGCAACTTCTTTGGGGTGCGGGACGCATGCGGGCGGCAGCACTGGGGCCTTCGGCGGAGCTCCCTATGGGGCCACGAAACGTGTGAGGGGTGTGCCGAATTGGGTGTGTGTGTGTGTGTGACGCATGCGGGCGGCAGCACTGGGGCCTTCGGCGGAGCTCCCTATGGGGCCACGAAACGTGTGAGGGGTGTGCCGAATTGGCTGTGCGTGACGCATGCGGGCGGCAGCACTGGGGCCTTCGGCAGAGCTCCTATGGGGCCACGAAACGTGTGAGGGGTGTGCCGAATTGGGCGTGCGGGACGCATGCGGGCGGCAGCACTGGGGCCGTCGGCGGAGCTCCCTATGGTGCCACGAAACGTGTGAGGGGTGTGCCGAAATGGAGGAGGGAGGAGGGAGGAGGAGGAGGAGGAGAAGGAGGAGGAGAGGAGAGGAAAGGAGAGGAGAGGAGAACGCGGGGCACCGTCTCTTCAAAACGAGGACCCAACACCACAGGATCGTTGGGAAAAACAAATTGAAATACCCCCGGGCGGCTCCCCCATTGGAGCTCGGAAACGCGATACGATCCGTCAGAACCATGATCATCGGATGATCATGGTCATGTAGAGCCGCCACCGTGCCTCTGGGCACGGAGTGGGCGTGCCCTCAGGTCCTTGCCATCATCCTCTCAACCTCAGTCCTCACTCCTGAGGAGTCGTTCAGAGCCCCAGACCCCACATCGCGAAATCTTATCCTGGGGCTTCTCGCGGTTTCTAGAGTGACTGTTTCGGAGCGATGGGGGCTCCAAGACGGACCAACAGGGCCCAAAGAGGCCCACGACGGCCCCAGAACGCCCCGAGACGCCCAAAGATCGCTCCAAGACGCCCTGCATGGCCTCAAGATGGCACAAGAGGCCTCCAACATGCACCAAGAGGCCCCGAAGATGCCTCCGAAGAGGACCCTGAGAGGCAAAAATCAGTGATTTGCCCCAGTTGTTGAAAGATTTTGGCGTTCTCGCCTTTTGTCCTTCCTGACGCTCCCAGGCGGCCCTCGAGGCACCCAATACCACCTCAGGACGGCCCAAGAGGCCTCCAAGAGGGCCCCAAGACGGCCCTCGAGCGCCCCAAGACGGCCCAGGAGGCGCCCAAGACGCCTCCACCCGCAATCCCGCGAATGCACCCAGCTTGCCCGCAATCCCGTCTCTACGTCTCGTTTCCGCCGACGACGACCACGATCACGACCACGATCACGACCGCGTTTGGCTGGTCAACTGTGCCTAAACTGTGCCTAAACATTTGGCATTGCCCCTTCGTGTACTCCGCGACGGTGCCCCGAAGCCTCTACCACCACGATGAAGGCATGAAGGCGACCACGACGACGATCACGACGACCAGGAGCACCACGACGACAACCCTCGCGACCATGAGCCCAAACGACCTCCACACAACCACCACGACGACCAAGAACGACCACCGCCGCGACGACGACCACCGAGGACGACCACGACGACCACCACGACGACCACCACGACGACCACCACGACCACCGTGACGACCACCACGACCACCACGACGACCACCACGACGACCACCACGAGAGCCACCACGGCGGCCCCGACGGGCGGCGCCGACCGCGGCCTCCAGGTGCGGCTGCGTGAGCGGCAGCAGCTGGCGGCCGCCCGCCACGGCCGCCTGCGCGACGAGCAGCTGCACGGCGCGCGCCTGCGGCCGCCGACGGCCCGGGCGGGCGCGGACGGCGCGGACGACGGCGACGACGACGACGACGACGGCGACTGCGACGACGACGACGGCGACGGCGACGACGGACGACGACGGGCGGCGGCGGCGAGGGCGAGCCGCGCGCGGCGGGCCGCGCAAGGAACACGGCGGCCTGCGGGGTGGCTTCGGTGGTGAGCGCCTGGGCCTCGCTCAGCAGGTCGGCGCAGGCGCGGCAGAGCTCCTGCGGGGCAGCCCCGCGCAGGCAGCGCGGGGCAGCCCCGGCCGCTCCGCCGCGGCGGCCGCCACTGCCGCTGCCGCCGTCGTGGTCGTGGTCGTGGTCGTGGTCGCGGTCGTCGTCGTCGTCGTCGCCGTCGTCGTCGCCGTCGTCGTCGCCGCCGTCGCCGTCGCCGTTGCCGTCGGAGGAAGCGGACGAGTTTGAACGGGTGGTTCCAAGACATGAGTGCGAGCAACCAAGTAAGCGGTACAGGAATGTCGAGTAGCCATATGGTGAAGGAGAAGGCGAGGGCCCTCCTCTCCTGCCAACACCGCACATTAAGTGCAGGCAAGGCACAGACCCCCCTCACGCACGTACACTTACGCGTGAAACAGCTGGTGGTCAATCACAAGCTCCCAGCTCTCCACCCGTTCGGCTTGGGGCCCATCGCCCGATGGGCAGAGCGAAGCCCGAGAAACAGGAGGGGGGAGAGAATGCAGGGAGGAAGAATGGGGAGGTCAAGAAGCTGGGGGAGAAGAGAAGAGGAAGGGGCAGGAGCAGCAGAAGCAGAAGCAGGAGGGAATGGGACGAGGAGCTCGGCACCCTCTCGGCCCGCTGTCCAGGTGGGAGGTGCCCACGCTGCTAATGGTCTGGGCCGCCACCTTCAGGAGCGGGAGCTCGCTCAGCTGGCCCTGCCCC